ACCCGCCAGCTTCCCCCGCCCTTCTGTCCCTCCCCACCCCCCCCCCCCCCCCCCCCCCGACCACAGGTCACCACACCTCACAGCACTACTGCTCACACTTTAACAATGTCTGGCTTGTTTATGTGTCTTTTATAAAGATCTGATAATGTTTTACAATATGTTTAAAGATTATTTCTTGCAGGACTGCTGGACTCTGGGGCTCCAGATGTTGGACCCGTGTGTTTCCTGACGGCTGAGGACAAACACTCATGTGTCACTGATGCACCAGGCAATTGTGCAAATGAGGAACTTTAGGACAGAACTGTCTCTTATTCAGACTCCAGCTCTTCATATCGTCAATTTCTAAAGGTTTTACAGTTTTAACATTTCACTGTTCTTGTTTTACTAAATCCGCTTTAAATATACTGAGTTTTTAAAGTAATACTCATAAAATAATTCCCTTCATTTTTAAACTTACGGGAAAAGATATTAACAAAATAAGGTGTACGGGGACCAATATACAAGATTAAATAAATGGAGAAACTACAGTAAAACTGCAAAACATGATGCATAAAAACTAACTTTAAAGCTGTTAGAGCGGCTTGCATCAGAGGAAAGTTAGACGTAAGTAAAGTTGTAATTTCCGGGTAATACTTTCAAAATAAAATGCAAAACACCTGACAGAAACTCCGACATTTGTTTGAGAAATAAACATTCAGCTCCTGTTTCAGTCTTTGACCACACTTTGTAATTTACTGTAATGTGATAGTTGTCTCATTATTGCACTCCAGTCATCCAAAACATAATGACCACCACGTACATTATATTGCAGGTCTGTTGAACTGGTGGCCCAGGGGACAAATCAGGCCCACGGATTAACTCATTTCGGTCCACCAGCGGCTTCATTTGAAATAAAACTAGATTTCAAATTATAAAACAAACTTACTTAACTAATAACTGCTGGATGTCTGGCCCCTGAGCAATTTTGAATAGCCCTATTATATTTTATTGTCCCATTTGTCCACAAAACAGTCCTGACCAATTCAGATATGTTGCAAAAATGTTGTTTTGTATCTCTGGCATCGAACGATGAGCAGCAGATCCTTTACGCGGAGAAGATACCAGGTGGGATTAGTGATTCGACATGTTTGTCCACCACAAATGCTGCACTGAACGAAGTTCGGGACAATACGGAGGCTCGGTTGACGCCTCAAACTAATTATGCCGTTTCTTAAACTTTTCTTGAAACAATGTCCTATGTAGGTAATGTAGCTTGAAGCGTTCACTGGAACAGAATGAGTGACAAAAGGCAACACTTACTAGAAAACGAGTTTGATTTAATCTAAAAAAGTTAAATCTGGTCCTCTGGACATTCAAAAAAACAAAACAAAGCAAATCAACAAAAAAATGTAGAAACGTTTCGTCCCTCATCCGAGAGACTTCCTCAGTCTTTTCAGTCAGGTCATCTGGACAGTTTCTTTTTTGTGCTGAAACGTTTCGCCTTCGATCCAGAAGGCTTCATAAGTCAAGGAAACACACAACACAAAACTGATTCTTCCCCCAACAGCTTACTCCAAAGTGGAACAAACCAGTTCTGCTTGTGATAAGATGGTCTCTTTGGTACGCCCCCTCCCCCTCCTCCATTGCCGGCCCTCTTCCTTGATGACAGTCTTGTCAAACTGGTTGAAAACAACAAAGTCCATGCTTAATAGCAACCAGAGTTTAGCTCCAGTTAGAGCAGCAGTCCAAAAACTTTATCAATAATCTCAAAGTAGGACGCCATAAGAGACGCGGTCACCTTCTCTAAGTCAGAAAAGCATTTGGAAACTGTCTGGGAATTAAAATAACAAACACATTCATATTTTACCCTTTTAAAATGGAATTTGAGCGCTTGGTGTTTCACCGTTCCCACCCACATTTTGATGTTGTCATCAAGGGAGTTGGACTGGCGACCTTCCGATCGCAGGCTCACCTTCTCTGGCCTCTGCGCCACCACTCCCCCCATTTAAAATGGTATTTTGTAATTTTTTTTCCACACTTTTTTATAAACATAATTATAGGAACATTTTTATGTTATTTAATAAATAAACGTCACTGTTGAATTATATGCGAGTGACCTCAAAGGAAGTCCAGAGTTTACAAAACAAAACGTGCCGCCAGTTAATCGTTGTGCTTTTACTTTGAAGGCGCTGGAGCTCAACTTCCGTTTCACGCGCTCTCACTTCCTGTACCTTTCCATCGGAGTGAAGCAGCTGGAGCGTTCAGACTGGAGCAGAGGAGCTGAGAGCCAGGGGGGTCCTGACAGAAACAGCTGGACGAGAAAAACCCGTTCCCGGACCAGTTGGACCCGGTTCTTCTGACTCGCTTCATTCGGTGTCGTGGAGTGGACTGACCGGAGGTCTTGTTGGAAGTTCTGACCCGGGGATGTCCGGATCGTACTGCAGAAGTTTGTACCGGTTCAGCGGGGACCAGCACCAGCAGGGACTGGACTTCGAGGCCGGGGAGATCATTAAGGTGGTCCAGGTTCTGCCCGGAGGATGGTGGGAGGGCGAGAAGGATGGAGTCCGGGGTTGGTTCCCCTCCACCTACGTTCAGGTTCTGGAGGTAAGAGGAGTTCTCTAGAACTTTTTATTGTCCTCGCAGGGATTTTACGGACTTTACATGGGTATGAAGGGGAAACACGCACGCGCACACAACGTTATGTGCTCGTGCAGTTATCTTGAGCCAGCCTTCCCAACAGGGCGGCTTCCTCATTCCTCTCACATTCCAGGGATGTGCTCAGGTCTACCCCCCCATCTCAACCAGCCCCACCCCCCAGGCCACAAACCAGTCCCTCGGAGCCCTGCTGGGAGCCTCACACTGGGTCTCTGAGCTTGGCTCCTTTGGATCCGGGAGGAGATCCACGCAGGGATGACATTTTTATCTCCACATCTCCACCCTGAATAGGAGGGGGGGGGGGGGGCACAGCCAGATATGAAAAGTGAAGACATGAAAACAAACCAGTGTCAGGTGGTTCATGTAGACTAAACATCTCAAGTGAACACACTGAACCTGTCTTGTTTCTTTAACTTGATTTTTCTCCAAAACATCCATCCATTATTCATCCATCCATCCATCCAACCATCCTCCATCCATCCATCCTCCATCTATCTATCCATCCATTATCTTTACCCGCTTCTTCCTTTTTGGGTCACGGGGGTCACTGGTGCCCATGTCCAGCCATCACTGTGTGAGAGGTGCGGGACACCTGGTCAGGTCTCCAGTCCATCACATGGACACATGCAACCATTCTCTCTCTCTCTCTCTCTCTCTCTCTCTCTCTCTCTCTCTCTCTCT